ATAGATAGATAGATAGATAGATAGATAGATAGATAGATAGATAGATAGATAGATAGATAGATAGATAGATATTTTCTGACTTTCTTTGAATAATGCTTTTTAAGTTGAATTGTTAAGTACTGGAACATAAACCATATTGCACAATTCATGGTTGCACATCATTCAAACCTTCAAGGGCGAACTGCTCTCAATTCAGATTTATTGGTTGAAAACAGTCTTCTTCTGTCCAAAAATCACAGAAAATATGAATATCACTTTTGTTCCCAATCCTGGCACCCTCAGCTGTTAAACGACTGGTTGTAGATTTTTCTTCCCGATATATCTTTTGATAAACTGTTCTGTCTTTTTATGCTCTCCCCAGTTTTTAGCAGCCATTCTGTTACACATGTGCTTACCTAAACAAATACATCTTTACAGTACATCTAGGACGTGTGTTTTAAAGAAACACATACATTCAAACATTTATTTGAACATGCTGAGTCTAAAAGGGCCGTACTTTTCTGCCTATAATGATTCCCTGATCTCCAGGAAATGAGCACCGCCACTGAAAGCAGCGTCTGGCCACAAGGGAAAGAGTGTGTGTCCCCCGTATGTGTGTGTGTGTGTGTGTGTGTTGCACTGTACAGTACGAGCGGCGGTCCTGGGGCGAGAGCACAGGCCTCCCTCCCTCCCTCCCTCTCCCTTATTTGGCAGGGGCCGAGCCCTCAAACATGTCTGGAATAGCTGGATAGAGACAGACGGAGACAGATAGAGAGACAGGGCTCAGGAAACAGTTCACGGAGACCAGATTTGTTTTTGGGGGAAAAAGATCTATTGTTGTGAGGCAATTAAGAATTCTGTTTTTGTTGGAATTTGAAGAGGAGAGCATGATTTGTAAGAACGAGGCGATATCGTGGAGCGGCTGAACAGCGCTGACCGGTGAGTGGACGGCTGAGGTGAAGGTTCTTTTGACTTTTCAAAAAAGTCCTGCTTAATTTGAATAATCACGTGGTTGCTTTAAGCAGATGGCGAATCCACCTATTGTCAAATCCCACTTAAAACGCTATAAAAAGCTATATTTGTCTTGATTTTGACTGGAATGGTTACAGATTTTTTTCAAGTTTTAGGCAATAGGACCATCTCATAGCTCTCCTTTCGTTCGGTGTTCGGTGTTCACAGACAACAGTCTGTTTTGTGTATTGCGTTTCCATGTCAACACTGTTGCATCCTGTGTATTTGGCGCCTATATGGCACAAAATGAGTCACGGAGTGTGTGTGTGTGTGTGTGTGTGTG